CGCAAGTGGCAGTAAGTGTGAGTCGTGGGGAGTTGGGTTTTTTCTTAAAGGGCCAGAGCTGTGGGGGGGTACCTGTGGGGGGGCTGGGGGAGCGGGGAGGGGTCAGGAGGCTCTTGGCAGATCCCCCCACACAGCGTAGGGTAGTGCGGTGCAGCAGGGATTGCCCCCCAGCGGGCAGCACCTGGTGAGCACCAGAGCTTTTTTTTTTTCCAAAGAGCTGGAAGCTGGGGCTGGCAGGGCAGGGCAGGGGATGGGCCTGGCTGATCCGGAGATTCAGTAGCAGCCGAATCTCCGAATCAGATTCAGCCAAATCAAATCAGGACAGTGATTCAAATCACCGAATCAAATCACTGTCCCCCAAATCAGCCAAATCAGAATCAGAATCCGAAGCAAATACTAGCTGCTTCTTACAGGCCTACTGGCCAGTAATAAAATTATATTCATGAAGCAATACAAACAGCTTATATTGGACCTTATTGGGCTCCCATTACAGAACAACCAAAAAATTATATACACATGTATGCATATTGTATAACTGTGTACATATATAGTGAATGCAGTGCTAAGGATGAGACCTAAATTATACAAACATCAAGCCATTCAGTTATAACAGACTGAGCCCTTATGAAGCTCCCATGCATTTTCAGGGGAATGACAGAGAAGTGCAACTGGGTGCTTGAAGGCAGTGTCAGTGGCTGTGCTGCTGGCAACTTAGTGGTGTTTGGGTTGGCTGCTGCTATTTTTGCACGCATCCTCCCAAAGGTTGGTGCTTGAGGCTGGAGCCCCAGTCACTTCTTCATCATGCTACTGGCTTGAGAAATGCAGTTCCCTCAGAGAGCAGCACAGAGGCTGCAGGAATCAGATGTAAGATTCCTGAGAGCCACATCCCACTCTTGGGAGGTGGATCAGGAGGCTTAGTGTGGGCAGGGAATCCCTGCAGATTGCTGGGACTTTACTGAGGTTGCATTTCAGCAGCCTTGCATCTGAAAGCAGGAGATTGCAGGGAGAATCACAAACGATCTGTAAGTAGAAAAAAATGCCAGTTATGAGTTATACAGCTAAAAAACTGTCATTTAGGTACACCCAGGACAATAGAATTCCAGCCATAGTGCTTAAGTATTGTTGAGGAGAGAGGACTAAGGCTTCTAAAAAACAGGGATGCCATAGGAAGAGGCTGCACAGTTCTAAGGAAATGCCCCTTCATACCACTCTGACAGTGGGAGAAGTCATTAAAATGAATGAAAATATTGTGTGACCTTAAACAATTAGAATGGAGATGTTAGTACTCCCCACTCCTATGGCAACAGGAGCCACATGAGTATCAGAGAAAGAGAAACTGGCTCAGTGAGCTCAATTCTCCATTATCCTTGATTCTGCACTGATAATGCAAAGAGATTAGAACACTTGGCCTGAATGATTTATATCTATTTCCAGCATGCCTTTTCCATGAACAGTTGGTAACAGGGGCGATGTGTAGGGGGTGCACATGGGTGCACATGCACCCCCTGAGTGTGACAGTGCACCCCCTACTAAAAGGTGCTGCCAACATTGTCAGCGGTGCCTGCAGACAGTCACTGCTCACCACCCCCCCACTGCCAGCAGCCTCTGTGGGAGGTCAGCAATCCCTGCTGGCCGCCACTGCCGGTGGCATCTGTAGGTGGTCACCAACCCCTGGTCGGCGCTCACCACCATCCCTACTGCCTACAGCGCTAGCAGTGTCTGCGGGAGCTTCCACTTACTGCCACTGTGCTCCTGCCGCTGTGCCCCACCAGCCATGGGGGGCACACATCATTCATGGCTGTTAAGCTCTAACCATATGTCCCATTTCTTTGAGGAGCTCTGTCATGTTCCTTCAGAGTTCTTGAAGATACACCTTGCCTGAGCTGGGAGAATAAAACTTGCTTTGGGACTCTGGAGTCAGACATCCACATGACATGGCTGGCCCAGCAATGTTGATGTCAAATGATCAATGCTCATGGTGTTTACTTGTGAGAGGACACTAATGCTGGCACATTTGTATTCCAACTGGATTCAAAGAATCTTCTGTAGGCAGCATTGATGGTACTTCTCCAGAAACTTGAGGTGTCTCCTGTATGTTTTCCACATTTCAGCTCTGTAAAGTAAGGTAGGGATCATGACTGCTTGATAAATCATAAGCTTGATTCATCAAGCTCAAATCTGAAGTCATGGTCTTTGAACATCCATTTCCTCAGGTATCCAAAGGCAGTACTTCCACATTTGAAGCAATGTTGGGTTTCTTCATTGATTTCAGCCTTGTGTGAAAGACGACTTCTGAGGTACAGGAAATACACAACATTCTCCAGAGTCTCATCATAAATCTGAATTACTAAAGCTGGGGACTGCTCATTAAAAGCTTGTTGATGGAGGACCTTAGTTTTCTTTACGGTAAGCATGAGTCCCATTTTCTTTTATCTCTCGGTAAAGACCTCAACAATTGCCTGAAGGTCTACTTCTGAGTCAGTACACACTACAGCATCAGCAGCATATTGGAGCTCAATGACTGAGGTCAGGGTAGTCTTGGTTTTGGCTCAGAGACAGCTGAGATTAAACAGCTTACCATACATACAGTAGTTTAGTTCCACTCCAACTGGATGCTTGTTGTTGGTCAGATGTAGCACTGCAATAAGGAATATTGAGAAGAGTGTTGGAGTGATGACACAGCCTTGCTCAACTCCTGTCTTAACCTCAAAGGGATCTGTGTTAGATCCATTACTGAAAACTGCTGCTCACATACCATCACGGAGCAGGTGAAGAAAGATGATGAATTTCAATGAGCATCTGTACCCCAGAAGAATCCTCCATACTGCTTCTCAGCTGACAGAGTTGAAGGCTTTCATAAAGTCATAAAAGGCCACGTAGAGTGGTTTATGTTGTTCCCAGCATTTTTCCTGCAGCTGGCAAGCAGTGAAGATCATGTTGGTTGTGCATCTTGGTGCCCTAAACCCACACTGAGATTTCAGGAGGAGCTCTTCGGCAAGTGGCAAAAGATGGTTCAGGAAGGTTCTTGCAATGATCTTTCCTTTGGCGGACAGAAAGCATTCCTCTGTAATTTGCAGGCAGACCTGTCTCCTTTCTAAAAGAGTGTCATGGTCATGCCATCTATAAAGCCATCTGGGATTTTCTCATCATCCCAGATCGTTAAGAGGAGGGCATGTGGAGGAGGGAACTGTGATGTAAGCTCCTCTCCCCCCTGCCTGAAGATTTCTTCAGGGATTCCATCAATTCCAGATACCTTGTCATTTTTCATCTGCTTGATGGCTTTCCTCACCTTGCCAAGGGTTGGACGGATTCCAAGATCATCTCTGACTGGGTGTTGTGTGATGGAATTGAGAGCACTCTCATCAACAACACAGTCTAGGTTGAGAAGGTCTTCAAAGTGCTCCTTCCAGCAGGCATTAATTTCCTTGATCAGATTTCTTCCATCCTTAGGTCAAAGCGGTTGGTCCCTGAGTGCTCGAAATGTAGATGACTTTGGTGGCACTAAAAAAAACCCATTTATATTGTGGATGTCAGTGAGATGTTGAATTTCCTTTACCTTATTTTCCCACCATCTGTTCTTCATATTGTGGGTCCTTCTTTGGAACTCTGCTTTGGTGTTTTGGTGATTCAGTTTCTTTTGCTTGGAGTTAATGTTGTTCTGCCAAGCACAAAAGATCTTGAGCTTATGGTTGATCAACTCTTAGATCTCCCAGTCATTCTCATCAAACCAGTCTTGATGTTTCCTGGTAGTGAATACAAGTGTCTTTTCACAGTTACTGATAATAGTGGACTTGAAGACACCCCAAGCACTACTGACATTCTCCCATTATTGTCAATCAGAATTCCCCAGTTTTTCATCGAGGTGTTGGTGGAAGAGGTCTTGCTTGATTGGGTCCTTGAGTTCTTCAATGACCTTCTGTCTGCATTGCTTCTGCTGCAGCCATCATTTGGGAACCATTGTGAGGGGCATAACCAAATGGATGAGTCCGATCAGTCCAGCAGTCGTCTGGTCCTAGCATAGCTCTAGTGATGTGCACATCTGTGCAATCCCAGGCACAAATAATGATACAGTCAATCAAATACCAGTGCTTAGATCATGGATGATGCCATGATGTCTTGTACCTGTTTTTCTGGCAGAAGAGGCTGTTGGTGATAGTGAGTCCATGTTCCGTGCATTTGGTCAAGAGAAGGATGCCATTGGAGTTGACTTTTCCCACTCCTTCTTTGTCAATGGTCCTTTTCCAAAAGGAAACAGGACCCTGGGCACATATAAGCCCCAGGGCTGGGGCTGGCAGGGGGTTAGTTCTCTGTCAGCAGTCAGGGGGAAGGAGTTCTTGCAGAAACACTATGCAAAGATGCTTGGTTGCCTATTTTGCTGCTGATAAGACTAATGGGCTCTAGGAGCTCCTAAAATATCTGAGGCTAGGAGGCATACATTGTTAAGGGAGAAGCTTGTCTCCTTAAAGGGGCAGAGTGTGACCTCCAATGTTATTCTTGTTCTTACATTATAGCCCAGGGACCTGTATTCCCATTGCTATTTGAATCTGGTGGACCGGAATGAGGCTTTTTGGGGAGCAGGAGGTCATCATGGCCATCCCTGGGGATCCTATGCCATGACAACATCCTTCTTTGTGCATGTCATTTTCTTTCCTCAGTTATTGTATTTTTAAGTGACTGGTGTTTTGGATTGTTTTTTTTAAGGGTCAATTTTACATGAACCTCCTTGAATTAGAGATGGGTGTGGACTGTAAAGACAGGAGGTAGGATCCAGGTCCTTGGTTTGAGCCCATTTCCACTTGGGCAAGCAAGGGCTGGGCAGCTAGGGCACATTCAGTGCTTGAGAACATGCTGACGTACCTCCAAGCTGTTTTGCATGGGCACAGTCAAAACAGGCTCCATGTAGCCAAAGGGCAACATTGCAGTGCGTGTTAATTGCACTGAAGTCAATAAAATTGTGTTGACTAATGTCAGCAGGGAGGCTGGTCCAGAACAGATTAAACAAGTTCAGGTCTGATTTTTCAAATCCAGAGAGCCCGGTGTTATTTCTAACCTTTGTTTATCCTTACAGCCTCATGCTTGTTGTTACTAGCCCTTGTGCTGAGAAATGAATCTCACATTGAGAGAAGCTCTTTAAAAGAAAAGTGAGGAGACACCCAATGCAAATACTTCTACCCAAAGTATTTACTAAAAAGCAGTGAAGAGTAACCTTGATGCCATGACAATCTCATCAGAACTTGGTTTTTAATTGGTTCTTTTATAGTGATTTGAAAACTGGATGTTAAATGTTAATCTTTATGGGCACCTATACAAGAGCGCAGAGATTGCTCCAATGCACTGGAATTTCAGCATGTCAGAGCAGACTCAGTTAATTGAGCGCAGCAGCTTCTTGCGTCTTGTATATCAATGTCCCCATGTTTAAAAATGGCAGCAGGGGTGCTTGAAGTAAAGCTCATTGGAGCTTTAGTTCAAGCACCCCAGCTACCATTTTTAAGTGCAGGGATGCTGATAGAGGGGACACAGCAGTGGTTTAATTGAAGTGGCTCTTGGAGCCACTCTAATTAAAGCTCCCCCCCTGCAAATCTGAAGTATGTGTAAAAGTGTCCCATGAGCTCTTAGCAATGTGGGGACTTAAGAAATAAAAATAATCTGGTACTTTACAACTTAACATGAAATTTCTGAATGTGTATGGCTTGAAGATTTATTTATTAAAGGGAAATTCTTCTCTTAATAAAAGACAATCACAGTTCATTTATAAGCAAACTCCTCCAGGATACAAACTGATTTTCTTTTCTTTTCTATGGGCATTTATCTCAAAATCAGGAAGAAGAAAATGTAAAGGAGTGACTGGGTTATACATGGTTAGTCTAAGTGAAGCATGCTAGGTCAGGGCACTGGCGATGCATAGGGGGTGCATGCAGGTACACTTGCACCCCCTGAGCTTGGCGGTGCACCCCTATGAAAAGGCGCTGCCAACACTCACTGCTCGCCGCTCCCCCTGACCCCTCACCACCAACGCTGGCAGCGGCGTCTGCAGGCGGTCAACGATTGCCGCTGGCCACTGCCAACAATGCCAGTGGCATCTGTGGGTGGCTGTCAACTCCTGGTCAGCGCTTGACACTCCCTCACCCCCACCGCCAACAGCACCAGCGGCGTCTGCAGGAGCTCACCACTTTCCACCAAGCTGCCACGCCCCTGCCGCCACCGCCATGACCTCCCAGCCGCCAGGGGCACAGGTTGTTCATGGGTCAGGGGTTACCAGAGTAAGTCACAATCAAGTCAGGTATCAGTCCAAGTCTGGAATCTCAAACTGAAGCATGAGACAAGGTTGTGGGCAAGCAATTGATCCAGGCAGGGAGGTCCAAGACAGAAACAGAAGCAATCAGGAATAGGCAGGAGGGTTCGAGCCAGAGGTTCAGAGCATGGCGTTAGATTTAGGAATTCCTAGCAGGCCAGAGACATAGCAAGGAGATCTGTTGCCCAAACAGATCTCTGCTCGCTAGTGTGTAGGAGCACCTCCCCTGCTGTACTGTGCTGGCACACCACACAAGTTTCCTGGGTCCCCCCCTGTCACCAGCCTTCATCAGATTTGCCAGTCTATCATAGAATCATTGTTAATGCACTGGTTTATTTCAGAAGAGGATCAAACCTGGTGCACTTTCCGTGTAGAACATAGGACTGTTTACATTGCCGTTCCACTGGAATATAGAGAATCATAGAAGTATACAGAAGCAGCCCTGGAAGAGGCCTCGAGAGGTCATCTAGTCCACTTTTCCTGAGGCAGGATCCTCATAACCATAATCTAACCTTACAATAAACCTCAATCGTGACACATTAGGGTAAGCAATGTAGCTAAGTCTCTTCTGGGGTTTCTTTGGGAAGACCTCCCTAGGTAAAAACTTTCACATTGGCAGCATATCAGAGGAAAGAGCACTACAAAGAAAACACAAACAGATTTGTTTTTTAAATCACAAGAGGAGGAACCAGTGAATAAGGTTGATGTCTGTTAACAAGAAAATAACCCTACCAAACTTTTCTCAGGATTGCTTCATTTATCTATGTTTGTCATGATTCTCATTCCAACCCTGCACATCCTCAGTCACCATGGAGAGGATCTCATGTACTACCTTCATGGCATATGTTTCCTTCTAATACTAGGAGGCATCATTACTGTTTGCCTGCTGCGCAATCTTAACTGAGTCAGTGGCTCCTTTTTGCTCCTGATCATATGTAGAAACACTGTTGATTTTGTGGGTAGATAAAGTTACAATATACATGGATTTGGATGATTTCCTATTCAAACACCAAGGGTTTTGAAATGTTGGGCTGTTTACATGTAGGGAGAAGATTGCAACAGCAGCTGATGAAAAAGCTCAAGCAGGTTCACTATTGCCAGGAAGGCTACTGCAGATATCCATCTGAACTCCCAACAGCTGTTTGCTTTGACCATATTTATACTTCCTTGCAGTCACCATCTGGAAATGGGTTTTCATCAATGTTCAGGGCTGACTATTACTATTATTTATATTACAGCAGTACCTGGAGGGCTCAAAAGCTAATTCATCATTTTGGGTGCTGTATGCAGTCATTGCCCTACAGAGCTTGTCTTAGCAGGCTCTGGGTGGGAGGTGTGGCAGGCCAGCAGGGGGTGCTCCTGTTTTGAGCCACCCACCTCACTGTGCCCAACCCCCCTCCAAGCTCCGAGTGCCTCCCTGGGGGCGCCTCACGTCTGGCCGACCCCCTTCCTGGAGTATACCCGCTAGCCTGGGTTTTCCACTTCCATCACCCAAGGCTCTGGACTTAATTCTGGCTCTGCACACCCTGGGAAACACAGGCCTAGTAGCCCGCAAGGGGACTTGATTCACTTGAAGAAGTTGGGATGCTTCCCTCAGTCAGAAGCACAAGTAGTGGTCTCTCTTAGTCAGCCGAACCAAGGGGACCCCAAGGCATAATCTAGACCCACCCGCAATAAGTCTCCCACACTAGGTCCAAAGGAGAACTTTATTGGTTACAAGGGTAGGGTTAGAATAGGGTACAGGGTAGAGCAATATCAGAGAAATCCCATAGAGCAAACTCCCCTGGCTGGGTAGCCTTTTGATCTCGCATCTGAGTTACTGCAAGCTATAGATCTAGTTGGATCTCAGGTAGCTTACTCACAAGTGTCATCCAGAGGCAGTTGGAGATTCCCTCTGGAGGCAGGCAGTTCCTTGATCATGAGTTTTGAGAGAGAGAGAGCAAGTTTCAGATGGTCCAGCTCTTCTCTCTCTCTGAGTCTCCCTCATGGCTGCTGCCCCCTCCTCCTGGGCAGTCCTTAACTTATATAGTCCTTGTGACCTCATTTACCTGGTCCAATGGAGGCCAGCACCTGTTGGCTGTCAGCCAACCAATTTGAAATACATCACTAGTTGCCGGGCAGACTCTAGCCCACCAGGGAGGAAGCCCCTCACCCAGGTATGTGATACTAGTCACGTAGGCAGAGGGAGCAGGTTTCCCCCCTCCCTCAGTAATGTATCCAGCACAGGTTACCTAAAGAGATAGGGTAAAGGTGTATATCCTCTGCTGGGCCCATCCTAATCAAATGGTCACAGAGCAGAGTTGTTGGGGGAGAAACAAAGGTGGCTTTCTGCCACAGGAGGCACAGAGGTGAAGTTATTTCCAAACCCAGTGGGTCAATGGCAAAATAAGGAAACAGACCTTGGCCTCCTGAGTCCCTGGCCAAAGTATTGGTCAGTGGGCTCCACTGCTGCCAGGATGATAATGACAAAAATTCATCCCTGTGAGCAGACCAGTCAGGACTATTCCTTAAACCTTGCTGGGGAGATATTTTAAATGGTTTGAAAACACCAGCTCAATGTTATTGAATGATTCCAAGCAGCATGAACAAGTATCTGAGCCACTGTGGAAGCCTGGAGGGAGGAATTGGGGTAAAAAAGAAAGAAGTGATCTTGTGTTAGGAAACCCCATACATCTTCTGTGGCCCACCCTATGACTATGATAGAAATGAAGGTACCTACCAGTTAGGCATGGAGCTGAATGACCATCCTTCCTCAAAAAGATCCTCAGGATACCCCTGACATTCCAGGTGGTCTGTCATAGCACCAAGATACTTTTTGGCAGGTCAAGTGGTCACTTCTGGAAGAAAAAGCTGTTCTTACAACTGAGAGCAACAGTGCATCAAAGCAACAGGACCCTGTCCCATCAGCGTGAAGCACGCCCCTTTTCCTGTTTACCATATCCCAAGATCCTTGTGCCACAGTGTTCCCCTGCAAGAATGCAGAATGAAAACCCGTCCCCTAGAAATACAGGAAAAGAAGGGAGCTTGGAGTATTTTCAAAGGAAATTAACAGGGTATAGTATTAGACCCCAGTTCTATACAAAAATAATCTGAGCTTCAGAAAGCCAGAGATACTTGAAAATGAATGAAAGATTCCTTCAAATATGCAAGTAAATAATGCCACAGAATAGGTCCACTTAAAAGAAAAACACAAAAGCAGAACTCTCCCAAGTCAAAGACCATGTGCCAAAAGAGATATGGGGAAACATATAAGCTGGTTATTTTAGTATGAAAGGGACATCAAAACTGAGATGGAGGGAAGTAAAGATTTCCTCTCCCTCCTCTTGGGATGGAAATCTCTGGAGCAAGTAGAGCAAATGGTGTACCTGAATTCATCCTCCCAAATGAGGTGTGGTAAAATGAGAGCACATGCAGCCTGGCCAATAAAGAATTTATTGTGGAATGAAATAGGAAAGGCCAACTTTGCCAGTATAGGGCTAGTAAGTAGGTCCTGATAGTGAAACTGACTTTTTTCCTTACTTTTCCCATATTAACCCTGCTAGTAAACTCTTATTTATGTGACATCAGGACTATAGGATGACAGGAATTAATAGAATTTGGGACAATTTCTGTGTTTATGTTACACACAGACGTGGTAGTGAACTATGTAGCTGAAAGGAGACTCTACCCTCATATCAAAGTGTATCCCTGGGCGTGACACTACCTCGCCTGAATAGCAAGAGACTACCTCACCTGAATCCCTGGGTAGCTGCTGCAGGGTCTCCGAGTAGAGAGTCTCCCCTTACAATCAAACAACTTTGCAGACCGTTATAAAACTGTTTACAGGATTTAATTTACAAGTTAACATATAACCAATGCAATAGAACAAATGTTACACCCCACAACCTGGTGATGGTGGCTCAAGGGTTAATGATTCTTGGATACACTTGACACTAGAGGAAGGTATGCAAATTATCCATGATAAATAAGGAACTAATACATAAATACATTGATACTCCAGCTAATAAACCATCAAGAACTTATTTACATAGTCTATAACTCATGCAGTGTGTACTGAGGACCCTGTGTGCATTGCCCCTGGAGGGGTGTCTCAGAAAGCAGGGCTGCATCTGTGCCCCTGCACAGGATCTGCAGGTGCTCCCTGGTGCTGGTGTCCCTTGCACGAGCTCCAGGGGTTTCCGTGCAGCAGGGAGCGGCTCCTCCCGTGCAGTCCCTGCAAGAGAGCTGACTCCTGCCTAGACCCCTTCCCTGGCTCACCAGGGAGCAGTGTCTGGGTTGCAGGTTGTAACAGTTCCTCCTGCTCAGCACAGCCTCACAGCACCCAACAAATGCAGTCCTTCCCCGGTGCCTTCTCATTCACAGGGGCAAACCAGGGCAGTCTCCAGCCTCTTCCCCTGGCCCTGCATCCCCCTCCCCTGCTGTGCTCACCCAGCCACACAGGGGCTTGCAGGAGGGTCTTCCCATGCTTGGAGTCTCCTCACAGGCAGCTCCTCTCTAGTCCTGCCCCGGCAGGGCTCTGAGCGCAAAGGAGGGAGAAGGGAC